CCCCCCCCCCAACCCCTTTCCCAACATCACTCTACTTATACCCTGTCTGGTTCCCTGAGAGTATTGAAGAAAACAGTTGTACAGAGTTATAGACTCTGAAGGTAAAATATAAACTATGAATTTGTCCCGCTCCCACCTCTCCACATAGATCCTTTCATAACTAGATCACTTGACAACAAGTAAATATTGCCAGAAACGCACCCCACACAGTTAGAAACATTCTTCCTCTCGCATTACATTGTCACATGTAGCTTTTTCTTCATGGAAGACTGTGCTGAGGATCTGATCTATATTACTGGCAATCAACAGCTAAGATTCACATACCCTGCTAATCTGTCAATTTCATGAGAGAGTATGTCATTTATTATAAATATGCAGATGAGATGAAATGGCTTAAAAATCCCATGTAGAATTGGCAAATCTGGTGTTGCTTAATGACATTGATGTGAAGGCCTCATTGGTGAATTTTATGTGTTATTGGTTTTTTTTATTGCCTCGTATTATCTAAGGTGGCAATATACAAGGTGAAGAGATTTCATGGAGGTGGATTATTTAAAAAAAAACACAACTGGGTTTATGCCAGTCGAGGAAGCCATGATTCTTTGAATACTCAGAACAGCTTTAGTGGCTCCTTGAAATGTCATTTAAGAAGCAAGCTCACTTGCATAGAGTTGATTTCCTTTATATATCTATTAGGCTTTGACTAGGAGACAAAAATATAGCTGGGAGCCATGGACACTGCTCTGTGCCTGGAGACTGCAGATAATCATGCTTCTACCCAATTTGATATACGTAATACTCTACCACTTGGTCTCAATGAGAAAAGAGATTTTCTGATCTGGTGTAAAGCCTGACCTGTCTAAGGCTCTTGATGATAATGATGTGTTGTTGTGTTACCACTGTCAGGCTTCTGAAACCTGTAGTGTACATATGTTACATTTTGTAGTAATGTTTTTTAAAACTGGACCGAGAAAGGTAAATTATTGGCTAGCTGTTTTCGGTAGGCATCTTAAACAGTCAGTATTGACTGGCAATGCTAGCTGAAACATGTAGTAGTATGAGTGAGCAACTGGCTTTTCATTCCCTCTTTGGAAGAGCATGAGTCAATATTAAACATGTGGTATAGCACAGTGCATGCTAGACGGAACCAGGCTTGTAGTTGTCACTCTGGCATGTATTGCTCTCTTACTCCTGTGCACGTGATTACCTAAATAATTCATATATAGTAGGAGATCTTTTGTGGTGATTAGTTCAGATCTTGTCTGGAATCTGTCTCAGCTCAGTAGTCATATCCATGCAGTAATTTATTTAAGAAGCACCTTCACAGAAGGATTGCCAGGAAGGAAGGGGACATTTCAGTAAGTATTACAGATAATTATAATTTTATAGATCTGATCAACTTTTAAGGTAGTATAGGGAAAGTTCTGTCTAGAGTCTATGAAGGCTTATGTTTGTAAGTGACATATGTGGGTCTTGCTAGTGATAGAGATCAAGTGTCTGGCTTGAGTTTGCCACATGCCTTGGACATTGCCACATCCCAGGGTGGTGGGGGTGTTATTGTCTTCTAAGTTACAAAGTCAGTCCACCTCAAGTGTAGGGGTGAGAGTCTGGTTAGGATAGAAGTGAAGCAGTGAGTGGTGGAGGACATTGTATCTCCACGATTCATTAGTCTGTTGAATCCATGTATGAAATGAAACCGCCTCTATGAATAACTGGGGAGAATAATGATTTTGTCATCGCAGTAAACTTACTTTTATTGCTATGATCAAAGAGTTGCGATATGCTTTTACCTTGTGCCAGATTGGCAGCTGTCAATAGTTTATTTTCTCTTTCATATCCTTTCCCAGGAAAAGAAACCATAGTAGGTGTATATATTTTGGATGTCCTCTTAGAGTTTTCCTTTAACTAAGCAGTGGTGTTAGGTGAGGGCCACATAGGGCGATCACAGTTTTGTTTCATAGGTTTCACGTCATTTTGTTTTATAACAGGTCAAAAATAAATCAGTGCTAGCTGAAAATTTGCTTCGTTTTATAATAAATCAGTTTTAGTGTCTGGTGCCAAATAATCATATGATCGTAATTTACACAGGCTGCAATGGTTGCTTGATACTGATTCTAACAAAAATATAGCTAATTACAGCAACATTATTTCATGATTGATGGTCAGTAAATTGGCTCTTTCCTTTAATGACACAAATGTAACATTTCAGTCGTTGTAAACGTCTTTGTGAAGCAAAGTGTTAAAATGTAAAATTATAGTGCGCACATTTTATATGGGCTTGTTTCACATGTCCACATTTGCACTTTCTTTGCTTCCAGGGACAGATTTCGATTCATTCTCATAAATGTTTTAACTGAGGCATATTTGAGGGACAATGGCAGAAATTAACATTAGTTGGATGTGGGTTATCTTTATTATCCATGCCAAGGTGTTCAACCTAAGATTGTACCTTTAACCACAGGTAAAACTATCACACTACTGCCATGGATAAATTAAAACCCTCACAGACATACTGCTATGAGAGCGCACCAAGAGAGGTGCATTCACTAAATTCAGAAGTATTTGTATCAGAGTGTTGTTTTGTGTATGAGCTTGATTAATTCAATCACTAAAGAAAGAGCAGACCACTTGACTTTTTTCTGATATGTCTACTAACACTTTAATATGTGAATATCTATCTGTCTATCGTCCATTTTGTAAAACCTATAAAGACGTTTTTTTACACCCTTGAAAATCAATGTTGTAGTGTTTGTTAGCATTTTTTTGTTATTCAACTGTAGTTAGTTTGCTTACCTGCTTGTATTCTTTCTCTGTCGGGCTTTCCCATAGAACTGAGTAGCAAAGTTATCAAACTCAACCTCAGCACTATGCAAGGATGTCCCTGATAAATATTTAACATGACAGAATAGCTATTCATTGTGTGTCACAAAACACCAAATCCTTGCAGGTAACTCAAGAAATAGTGATATTTAAGGAGCCACAGGACATGTGAAGAATTCTCAGTAATTTAGGAGGACAAAGGA